AAAAGGTCTTGTAGTGACTAAAAACCCTTAAAATATTTATCTTTCTTGTGTCACTTTGGAGCCGTGCAAGATGAAAGTTTCATGCATAGTTTTGCATGAGAGAAAGAAGCGATGAATCTTCTTTTCAACTCTGTCTCCCCCACTTCAGTCGTTTGTGATAAAACCTATCTAAATCGAAGAGCCAGCCCCTAGCTTTCTAATACTGAAACCAGCGTACCATCGATGTATTGGCTTATAGAGAGCCCATTAGATTGATCTTAAGCTGGTTCCCTTGAACCAAACATTCATGATTCATCTCTAGGAGCACAAGATACGCCAATACAGGACATGTATGCACGTATATATTACACAATAGTATAACAAACACTCCCTAAAATGGAAAAAAGATCAACAGTTTAACAAGCACATAACACTAGTAACACACGCGCATACATATACTCACTCCGTAAGTATAGATCCAAACAAGCTTTTCACTGGTCACTGTTTACAATATACTATATGGGTATTAGAATTTATTCCATGGACGACACGCAGCAAAGGCGCCAGATTTACGATGCATGGCATCTATCGTACGCGAGAGTTGTCTCGTGATGTACCTGCTCACGAGATAACGTAGGGGAGCTCTAGGCTCTATAGCTAGGCGCTGTCGCGTAGCCGCTGAAGCAGCGCGGAGCGGATGGCGGCGCCGTCATCGTGCTGCAGCGCGGCCGGCACGTCCACCACGACGTCCTGCACCGTCGCGCCCTGCACGCGGCTCACGCACGCGTGCTGCACCTGCAGCTCCAGCGACCGGAGCGCGCTCATCAGCCGCGCCGGCGCGTGCGGGGCGGACCCCGCGGCCGTGGTCACGCGCACTGCCGCCGCGTCCCGCCCCACCATCCGCACTTCCACCGTCTCGTCTCCTGCTAGAAAGTGCTGGAAGGAGGCGCCGCCACCGCCGAGGGAGGCCGAGTTAGTGTCCCACCTCGCGGCGGCCGCCTGCTTGCTCTCGTCCTCGAGCCGGGCAACGCGGGCGCGCAGCTCGGCGATGTATGCGGCGGCGTCGGCGAGGAGGGAGGCCTTGTCCATGCGGGACACGGTGGGGACGGCAGCGCGGAGGTCGCAGAAGCGGCGGTTCAGTTTGTCGCGGCGCTGCCGCTCGGCCTCCACGTGGCTGACAGTGGGGCCCTCGGGGCGTGGCCCGGGCTTCCTGCCACGCCGCTTGGGCGCCGGCCGCGGCGTCGACTCCGTGGAGGCAGGGAGGCTCGCCGCCGGCAGCTCCGAGAGCTCGGAGTCCGTGGACAGCAGGGACCCCGCGGGCCACAGGTCCCCCGCGTCCTCGCTCTTGGCCGGCACGACGACGTCGCCGAGCAGCCATTGCTCGGGGACCTCGCAGGAGGCGAACTCGATAAACTGGTGGTGGGGGTGCTCGTACTGGCCGGACGGCGGCGAGACCGGGAAGAAGGAGGAGCACGGGGAGAGCAGCTCGTCGTCCATAGCCGGCGGGAGGTGCGTGCGTGTCGCTCCAAGAACTCGCAAGTGGAGATGGCAGATGCGTACCTGTTGTTCCACTCCGCTATGACCATGTATTTATACCGGTGGCACATTAGCGTTTGAGACCTTGCATATACGTTTATCTCACGGAAATGGCCTCTGTCGTTTTCGTTTCATCTTTGCCCCGCAAAAAACATGTCCGTGTGGGCCCGGGCTTGAGATCTTGAAGGAACCAATAGATGACAATTAGGTTAGCTAGCAGTTGTGTAGTCACTAATCAGTTAGTCGTCACTATGTGAGAAAACGAGAGAAGAAACGAGCAAGTTAAATTGCAGTGGTGAGCTAGACAACCAGTGACCTGCACATACATATTGAAAATGGATAGTCACGAACTCACCAGAAAGTCATTTTCTTTCAAAAGAAAAGAAAAAGAAAGTCATTTTTTGGTGCTGAAATGACCTTTTGGGACCCCGGGGAGTGATTTTTTTGCGAGAAGGATCTAAAAGTTCACCGAAAATACAAAGCATCTCAAACATAATATGCCGCCAGAACAAACCGTCCACGCGCCACTGTCGCTGCTACTAAATCGGAGCCGGATCGACCATGTTGATGACAGCGGGGAAGTCTTCATGCATATGCCCCTAAGGACCAGCGCCCTGGAGCCACAGTCGTCGCCATTGAACCCTTGGATAGATCTGAAGCACCTGGCACCAAACGACACCACGTGACGAGAAACCCAAACATCACCGCCCAAAGAAGATGACATATGTCGGAGCTCCGTCGACTATGTCCAACGGACGAACTTGAGGAGAATCAAAGCCCAGAAGACAAAGTCGAAGAAAAAGCATCGTTGTCTGCTTGAACGCCACACCTGCGAGGACTAAAAAGCCTAACATAAACTACTAACCGGAGCGAACGCACCAGGATTCCCCTTCCCCCACCGGCCTTCGGAGCGGCAGGCAGAGGGGAGGTGAATCCACGGACTCGCTGATGATGAGTGGATGTGAGAATTTGCCCTAACCACATAGGGTTAGGGATGAAACGACCTGCCCAGAGTTTTTTTTACGTGCGGGAAATGACCATGACCGAGTATTTTAACATAAAACACAACATTGAAATTTTAAAACCATGGAAAATCATGCATGTAGAGGATGGATTCAAGTATATATGTGCAAGTTAACTTTGAAACTTAAACATAACCATCTATGAGTAGGAAAAAAAATCAGAAGATTGTTGTTTCGAGATCAGTTTTTGTGCTTACATTGTGCTTTGACCAATTTGCTATCTCCAACGTCGACCCCAGAACCTCCTGCATCCGTCCAGAATGTGTTGTACGGACCGCAGAAGTCGTCCAACGCAGTCCTCTATCGGTGTGCGGCGTGGTCCGGACGCGTTTTCTCTCG